GGTTCAAGGTGAGCATGGTTCAAGGCGAGCATGGTTCAAGACGAGCATGGTTGAAGGCGAGCATGGTTGAAGGCGAGCATGGTTGAAGGCGAGCATGGTTCAAGGTGAGCATGGTTGAAGGCGAGCATGGTTCAAGGTGAGCATGGTTCAAGACGAGCATGGTTCAAGGTGAGCATGGTTGAAGGCGAGCATGGTTCAAGGTGAGCATGGTTCAAGGTGAGCATGGTTCAAGGCGAGCATGGTTCAAGGTGAGCATGGTTCAAGGTGAGCATGGTTCAAGGCGAGCATGGTTCAAGACGAGCATGGTTCAAGGCAAGCATGGTTCAAGGCAAGCATGCTCACCTTGAACCATGCTCGCCTTGAACCATGCTCGCCTTGAACCATGCTCGCCTTGAACCATGCCCGCCTTGAACCATGCTCGCCTTGAACCATGCTCGCCTTGAACCATGCTCGCCTTGAACCATGCTCGCCTTGAACCATGCTCGTCTTGAACCATGCTCGCCTTGAACCATGCTCGCCTTGAACCATGCTCGCCTTGAACCATGCTCGCCTTGAACCATGCTCGCCTTGAACCATGCTCACCTTGAACCATGCTCACCTTGAACCATGCTGGATGCCTATCTTGAATAAAATTCGTCCCATTTTCCACCACCAGCCGGTACCCATGCCGCCGTGCATACAGCCTGCGGCGGGCAGATGAAAGAGAAGACTTGCTTGGATTTGGAAGACCAAATTGACTTCTCTTCCATGAGCATGCCATCATGCATACAGCCAGAATGTGAGTGGAAGAAAGGAATGTGGGGTTGGGGAGAACGTGGAATGTGGGGGGAACAAGAATGTGGGGGGAACATGGAATGTGGGGGGGACATGGAATGTGGGGGGGACATGGGATGTGGGGGGGACATGGAATGTGGGGGGAAGGTAACACAGAATGTGGGGGGATGGGAACATGGAATGTGGAAACTGTCGAACGTCGGAGTGAGCCTAACAAACGCAGTTTTGGATTAGACTAGCCGAATGTAATTCACACCTTTGCGTGACTCTTATGTAAAACACGTTGTGGCATGCACAAGACAGCATGGCACCACTCACTCACTCACAAGTTGACAGCACGGCATGGCACCACTCACTCACTCACAAGTTGACAGCACGGCGTGGCACCACTCACTCACATGTTGACTGGCACCTCTCACTCAGATGTTGACAGCACGGCATGGCACCACTCCTAAGTTGGAATATATGCTACTTTGCTTTTGCGTTTTGCGTTTATACGCTTAACAAATTCGTACGCTGCGTATAATTTGAAAATTCGCCGAGTTGAATTTCGGGCAGACCGAAAAAAGGTATCAATCTAAAGCTCGCGACGTGGCGATCTCTAATTAGAGTCGCTGATGTCGCGAACTGAACTTGAATTTTGAATTTTGAGCTCCAAACCTCCTCAACCCCACCCCTCCACCGTTTCACACCCCTTTAAACCACAGCATTCCACCACCCCCTTCAACCGCTACTTTACTGGTTGGGAGCTCAACCCAACCCAATCTCCTAGGCATAAAGAGTGGCATTTGTTAACTCGATATTCATTCTCTTGCTTCCTATTCTAGCTACCTCTTCTCCCCAGCCACCATGGTGCTACTCCTACAGCAACAAGTTCTCGTTCTACACCCTTTGAGTTTTACAGGTTTTTTTCTGTAACTTTCATATTAATAAAAAGGGGATGGGGGTTACATCACCCCCCCATCCCCACCTCTTACCCCAAAAATCTGCCCGGGAAAAAAAAAATCCCTGCCCGGGCAAGCGTATTCTTGTGCGTACCAGACCCCTCATGGCTAGCGTCTAGCGTATATACTCTCGCGTATGTACGAGAGCGTACAAAACGCTAAACGCGTTTATTCCAACTTAGCACCACTCACTCACATGTTGACTGGCACCTCTCACTCAGATGTTGATAGCACGTCATGGCACCACTCACTCACTCAGATGTTAACAGCACGGCATGGCACCACTCACTCACATGTTGACAGCTAGAGCGAGCCAGATGGGGAACTTGTGGAGCTGCTCCCTGCCGTTGCCATCCAGCAGCTTGGGCAGACTCTCGTAGAACCGCCTCCACACCTCAGGCACCTCGGCCCCTCGTGCAAACAGCCCACGTCCCCTTTCCAGTGTGTCACTTCCCCCCTCTGACTCGCTTCCTAGCCCTTCCTGGAGGCCAACAACGTCGTCATCCCGTTCCACCTCATCAAACAACAAGCTGCCTCCCTCGTCCGCTGCTCCATGATATCCTCTTCTTCCTCCCCCTTTTCTCCAACCACCCTCCTTCATCCCCCCTTCCCTTGTACCTCTCTCTCTTTCTCCTCCCAAGGTCAACCCTTCCCCCGGCCCGTCCCCCTCCCCTTCCACTTCCCTTACCCATTCCCCCCTCACTTCCCCTCCGCCGCCTCCTCCCTCCCCCCACATCCCCAAGCGCCTCACCAGCTGCGCAACAGCATCCTCCATTGCTCCAAGCTTCCTTCCCTTTGGCACTGACCACCCCCCACCAGGCCCACCCCCGTCCCCTTTTTCTTTTATCCCAAGGTTCCTCATCAGTTGTGCTACAGCTGCCTCTACTGCCTGCACGCCTTCAGGACTGTAGCGCGTGTCTAGGGTGAGAATACAGCCATGCCGTTCCCCCGGAAAGGGAGACCATGTGAGAGGGGAGGGGTCCTGGAGCTGGCTGTTGGCCGCCTGGGGGTTTGAGGATGGATGTCCAAGGAGGGAAAAGGGTAGCAACAGGATTACGTGAGAGGATCGAAGATTTATCATGATGAGCCTGAAATGGGTAAGCGATGAGACGAACTTCTCTTGAAGAGATGATGAGGTGAGGAGGTAAATTCTTTGGCAGGGCCCAAAAAAGCTTGTGTGGTGGTGCCTTTCGAATGAGCATGTGTGTGACTCATTGAAGACACAGATGATGAACGAAAGAGGAAACAAAAAAAAAGCACAAAAAATGGATGCCGAACCAAGATCCAATAGCAGGTTAGCACTGTAAAAAACGTGGCCAGACGAGCTTGATTGGGATCTTAGACTCTCACGTGCTTGACCGCGTTTGAACCAACCACCAAAGACATAATTCTCCTCTCCGTTGCAGCTCCTGCGTGTGCGCAACGCAAAAAGCCTTCCTTTCTTTCTCACCGGGACACTGGTGATGAGGAGCCAGCACACAACAATGGCCACGCAAGCTGCAATCCACAGCCACGGTGGCGCCGCCATGAGAGCGGCTACGACGGTGCGCCCACCTCCATGATGCGTCGCCCCGGCGGGCCCGCGGCGCGCTGCAGGCTCCGTGACATGATCATTCGAATGATCGCGGCCGATGGGGCTTGGAGTGTAAGCCCCCTCCACATTCATCGCAGTGCGCACAGCAGCAAGACCTGAGAGAAGGAGGTCTGTACGCGGTGGTTGGTAGTAGAAAGCGTGGCTGAGGGAAACACGTACAACTTGCTGGAAAAAGTGTGCAGATGCGGCAAACGGATGTATTCATTAAAATAATACCCACCTTTGCCACGATCCCCACCTCAGGTACTCACTCGAGCCCCCACTGTTTGACCCCGAGGCACACCGAGCTTCTACACTGGCAGCAGCTCCCACGCTCCCGATTTTCAAAAGTTTTGTCGCTCACTTCCTTCCGCGACTCAGAGTCGCGGCTCGCGGAGCAAGTGGCTACCCGTCCCGTCGCTCGCTCGCTCTACCGGCCACTCCCTCGCTGGGAGTCCCGCCGTCTCCGTTCGCCGCTACTACTAGTGGAAAATATGCCAAAATTCTTAAAGAAAACTTGAGAAACCCAGTCGCACTTGAGGTTCTCGGACTTTGTATGGAATACCCACTATGGTGGTAAAAAGGCCGCGCTGTCCCGAGATAGGGTTGCGACGCTTCACGACTACGGGCGATCCTTAGGTCGTATCCCCGCTGGTGGCAAGATTGGTTAGTGGCATGCCACCAACTCGGAAAACACATGGAGGAATAAACCTCCTGGTGTCAAGAGGGGATGGTTGGGGAGTTGAACGGACACGTCGCAACACCCGCATTGCGACAACTGACAAATCGCCTGTCACCCAAACACCATCGAAATTGCAGATCGCACACACAAATCGCCCGCGCACCCGCCAGTCATGTGGTGACGCGAAACCGTCACAATTCCCAGTGGGAAATTGAAACACCACCGAACATCCCAGCGCAAATCGGTCGTCAGAACCGATTTGCCAGTGTCGTCAGAGGGGGTCGTTGGAGCCGGGCCTGACGAGGCGGGCAACTGACGCGCGTGCGGGCCCGCCAGCCTGGCCCAGGGCCGGGGCCGAGCACACGACCGCCGCCCCGCAACCCCCCTGCGTGATTGAACAGCGCCCCACGTTACCGGGTGGGGGCGGCGAGCTAGCAAGCCCTCGCGCGAGGGTTCCCTCACGCGAAGGCAGCCCTCCCGTGCCTACTGCCCGCGACGTCCTAGTGACCCTCACGACCTGCCCGGACGGGCAGGCGAGGGCCATGCAAAATTCGGGTGCTCCCCTCGGGACGCTCGACAATTTCGCGACCCGTTGCGGTGACGCCACGTGCTCGCATGCGCGTTCGCATCGGGTGCATGCGAAATTTCGAGCCCGGCGAAATTGGACTGCTCGCATCGCGGCGCGGGGTTTTTGCGATCCGCTGCAAAAATCGACACGTGTCGGCCGAAACGTCGCACCGCGCGCATGCGAAATTGCGTCCCCTCGCCGAGCGAAGCCAGGGGACGCGAAGTCGACGTGCTGGCTCGGCGGCAAAGGAGCACTTATGCCACTTGTGCATGCAGCCCGCCAAACCCTGCCGAGCCAAGCACCATGAACCCTGGGCGATGCCTCAACCGGCATGTGGGGCACCGACTCCCTTTCCTTGGTGGAAGGAGGCGTCGCTCCTCATTTTCGGCATCTCGTTTCTCTTTCAACATTACTCCCACATTCTCGTCCCTTAGCCTGTAGTTAATTCCCTTCACCGCCATGGAGGCCGACCCGAAATCCGGCGAAGCGGCGCCGACCGTGCAGGACTTCCCTCTGTATCTCGACCTCGGCAGTGGACTCACTGCCAAGCTCGAGGAACACGACTACGCCGTCCTCGTAGACCATATGCTAGAGTTCAACGCCCGTTGCTTGGGATTCGACCTCAAGTGAGTCTCCGTATGGGGATGTCGGCGTCGACCTTTGGATACCTTGCTGGTCGACGCAGCGTCGGTGTTAGGGTTGTCCCACGTCTAGGGCGGCGCTACGAGTTTAGGGTTTAGTTCACTTCTCGTTGACATCGACTTTAGGTTCAGGGTTATCTAGAACTCCGATTTCACCAGTAGGTCGGTGTCGCGAGGGTGGTGCACCGTCGTACTATTGCCATCCCCGTTAGTTGGCAGTTCCTAAACCAACGTATCCACCGTCATGTCGTGCACCTCCTCACTCACTTCTAATACCCATGCATGCGTGCAGGCACGCATGGATTCGCGCAGCGCCGGCCAACATGCGATTGTGGTCGATAGGAATCGGCCGGCTTCGGGCTGCGATGGGTCAGGACGACCACACATGCTTTGCAACGGTTTTCGACGCCGACGTAGCGGTTATCCCCCTGACTTCGAGGTGAGCTGGTTCGAAGTCGTCATGATGTGTGTTGCAACCTATGTCGGTGCTCTGTTCTGAATGACGTCGTCGTGCCTTGCCTGTGCAGCATCGCACCGCTTCCAGGAGCACATTGCAGCATCGTTGTCATCCTGCACCCCGGCGACTTGTTGAAGGCCGGGGGGGAGAAGATCAGGACCTCGATCCGGCACGTTGACCCGCAGACCGTGAAGCAGTGGCACCGCGACGAGGCAATCCGCGTGCTGAAGTGAGCTCGATAGTGTAGTCGACGACGCATGCAATTTCGCCGCGCAGCGTAAACAATGCTTACCGACAATATGTGCCATGTTGCTTCAGGTTTTTCCGGGCGGCGGTCCTGGCCGAGCTTGGGCGCAATGGTAGGAAGTGGGAGTGAGCGAAGCCTTCTGATGAAGAGGTGGAGGACAGGCTCGCCGACTGCAATCAACCCGTTCGAGATGTGAGTTCCGAACAATTTACCATCCTATAGTGTGTCATCCTTGCGCGATGCGATTGACGAACGCGGAGCTCATCCTTGCGCTCCGGCCTGCTAGCAATGAGCGCGTTGTGCTGGGTGGTGAGGAGGATGGATCTCCTGACCGGCGCCCTCCGTCGCAGTGTGACCAGCATGGACAAGGTCAACGTTTCGGGGTTGAAGGGGCTGCGGAATGGGATGATAACATTCGTCAAGGAGCACGTCGCTCTCAAACGGTCGGGCCATGTCGGAGTTGCTGCTGACGCATGTGACGAAGATGGTGAGGAGGCCCCTTCGGCATCCCAAGCAGTAGGTGTCGCCCACACCATCGATGATGCGCATGGGACTTCTATCGGAGAGCCCGGAGGCGGCGTCGACAAGGAAGATGAGGAGGCGGGAAGGTCAGTGACTAGGACCGCGGAGAAGCACCAGGACGAGGACGTCCATTAGGATGATAACGAGGATCAGGAAGAGGACCATGAGGATCGTGAGGAGGAGGAGGAGGAGGAGGAGGAGGAGGAGGAGGAGGAGGAGGAGGAGGAGGAGGAGGGGTGGGGGGGGGGGGCTCGGCGGAGGAGGAGGAGGAGGAGGAGGAGGAGGAGGTGGTGGTGGAGGAGGCGGAGAAGCAGCAAGAGGGGGAGCAGGAGGAAGAGGTCGAGTGGGAGTTGGAGGAAATGGAGGTGGAAGTACGAAGAGGGAGCGGCGGAAATGGCTGGGAGGTCGGCAGATGTTGTGAACGAGGGAGGGGAGGATGCCGACGAGGAGAAAGTCGGCGTGGAGGCGGCTCACGGGGGAGTGAGAAGGTCGTGGTCGGCGATGTGGTTGGCGACGCTTAGGAAGTTATCGACCTCGAGGCCGTTGAAAGAAGGGGATAATGCCGCGACCACGAAGCAGACGGGCGTGGAAGGGCCTACCGAGACCACCGCATGGAAGGCCGGGGGGGAGTGGTCTAGGAAGAAGAAGGCGGCGCGCGGTTATCTCGGTTCCTCCGCATCTGGTCGGCAGGCACCGCTGGACGTCGTCGAGCAGCTGCGACAGGAGAACAGGCGATTGACGGCAGAAAATGCCCGTCTGGAGAAGGCGCACGGAGAGGAAAGGGGTCGGGTGGACAGGTTTGCGTTGGGGATACGTGGACTCCTCGACAAGCTCTAGTCGTTGGCCGACCAGGTCGCCGTCTCCGGCCATAATGCGGCGAAACGGCTGCTAGATGCGACGTTGGCCGTGTCGACAACCATCACGGACAACATCACCAACCACATGGACGAATCGTGGAAGGCGATGAAGTCCTTCGCCGAACAGGCGTCGACATGGTTGGCAGAAATCGACGGTCCAGATGGAAGTATGGCAGTTGAACGCGCAAAAGCGGTCACCGCCTTGGCCAACCACGTGGAAGCGGTGGTGGACGATATGAAGCTGGGTTTGGAGGACTACATCTCGAAGCACCTAGCCGCCGCACAGACCAACATTGCCGCCGCGGTAACTCGCACCATCGCCGTGCCGCCGCCGGCCACCCAGCAGTCGTTTTTTGCGTCCGGGTTAAAGCTCATGACCGAGGTGATCGGCAATGTGGCGGCTGGTCGGCGTGGATCGTCGCTGTCGGCCAATGACGCCGATCCCGCGCAACGAAGGGAGGCCGACAAGCAGGGCCAGAAAAGGGCGGGCGACGGAGATGATACGGGGAGCGTGAAGTGGAGAAAGGGAGCCGATGGGAGCCGCGGCGTCGGCGCGGTAGGTCCAAGCGGCTCGCAGACTCGAGGTCAGAGCGTGGTTGACCAGCTCAAGAAGAACGAGGCCAAGGTGATAAGGTCGCACAGCAAGGGAGATGGAATCGGGAGTGCAGATGGGGGCCATGCCGACGAGGTTGCCGCTCAAGACGCTGGACCAACAGCCTCGCCCCTGGTTGCCGAGAAGCCCCATGGTCTAGCGAGCGGCGGGAAAGGCTTGAGCGACAAGGAGATCCCAACCGCTCAAACTGCGATAGATGGTGGCGCCAGAACCGTCAAGGGACCGTCTGTCAGGGTGGCGGGGACCACGTCGATTCTCCGAAAACCCCCTGCGACTAGCAGCGCGCCGGTCAGCCCATCAGCCGTCAACAACGATGGGCCGGCCCTTGCGGCTACTCCAGTTCCAGCAGGCCCGTCTGCCGCCAAGGGCGACGCGAAGGATGCTGCGGCTAACCGCGACGGTCTGTCCGCCACTAAGGTGCCCGCAGCGGTGAACGCGCTCAGAAAAATGCTCCACCGCATGGAGGCCCATCGCAAGGACGTGCAGCAGCCTCCCTTGGTCAATGTCGCCCCCGCCGAAACAGCACGTCGCTCGGTCACTCCGCAGGTCGCCGCCACAACGCCCAACGCCTCTGGTCACCGCCCGTCCTCCTGCGGACCCAAAGTCCGCATTGCTGTGCCCTCGGTTAGGCGCACGTAGTGCGGCAGCGCCAATACGGACTCAGCCGGAAGCCGGCTCAAGCGCGACGCCGACGTCGGTAAACATGGCGGCGGAGAAGGGCGTGAGGGCAGCGCTAGCCACCGGCGGCGGAGCCGTTGACCCTGTACAGGCGTCGAAAGGCCACAACGACGCCGACATCGCTGCCATCCAGAACCTGTTGGAAGCGGTAAAACGCCCCAGGCACCCCGCTGCTCCGGCCATCTCAGACACGGCGCATGTGGAGCCCTCGGCGAGTCCTCCCTGTGGTTCAGCGGAGCCAAAGACGACCACTGATGCTGTCGGCGAGGGAGAGTCGAAACGGAAGGGGAAGGCCGACACAGGGAAAAGGAGGGCGAGCTCTCAGAGGAAAACATGGGCGATGTTGGCCGAGACAAGGAGGGAGAAGGCGAAGGAGAAGTCGGTGGAGAAAGGGAAGGAGAAGGCAGAGGAGAAGGAGGAGAAGGAGAAGGAGAAGGCAGCAGAGAAGGAGAAGGAGAAGGTGGAGGCGGCGGAGAAGGAGAAGGAGAAGAAGGAGAAGGAGAAGGAGAAGGAGAAGGAGAAGGAGAAGGAGAAAGGACAGAAGGGTCATGGCATCCGCCACGACAACTCGGGCGATGGTCTAGGGTGGGTGGGTGAGATTAAGGTGCTCGGCGCTAATCGATACATCGGCAAGTCGCGCGACAAGATGGAGCTGGCGTACCTGCACTCGATTGCGTACATCGTCTACGACGGTTACGTCAGCAAGGTCATCATGGCCGAGCTCACCGGCTTGGAGGAAACCGAGTTGGAGAAGTGGAGGAAGGTGTGGGAGGAGGTCAAGATTTTGCCGACAGGGATGTGGACGGTGATATGGGCATGGAGCGCGTACCTTCCAAAAACACGGTAAGTCGGATACCCTTCGGCCGAGTGTTGATGACGATGTCGGAGTCACTAATGATCGCCCGGTTTCATGTGATTGCGTGACAGGTTCGATGACATTCTCGGCAAGTATCGAGCGTACAAGAGCTCAGGCGATGCGCACCACGACGCTCTCTTGCCGGCGATCTGGTTCCCCGTCGATGCCGTCACAAAGGAAGGCAAGGAGAAGTCGGATGCTATGATGTCGGCTATGATAGGTCGCGTGTCCATGTGCGCTGCGTATGGGAAGGTCGCTGCAAGCGCGGCGAGGAAGGAAGGAGACACTGATGAGAAGACGGCGATGGCGGCACAGGCATTATCGGCCTCCGCTTGCGCCGTGTGGTGCTAAGTCGAGAACGACGACGCCCAGGTGGTAGATGCTGTGGGCGAAGGGAAGGCGGCGGCGATGGTGGTCAGTGCAAGCAAGAAGACCGCCGGTGTCTTCAAGGAGGACATGCAGGCAGTGCTGGAGGCCGAGATCGACAGGGAGCAATCCCTCGGGGAGGTTGCGCACAACGTCGCACCGGCGCTGCAGAGTCTCGCTCTGCACCGGGTCTATCCGGGGGTGAATCATGAAGTCGAAGCCGACGTGATCGCTAGAGCGACGGTGGAGACCTTGGCGTTTTGGGGAATGTGCCCCGTCGCCGGGCCGAAACTCGAAGAGATCGGCATCGCGGTGCCATGTGACGCGCAGATGGAGTACGATATTGAACACAGGGGGAGGAAGGGGCAGAGGGGCAAGCAGGGCAAGGACAGCACGGGGAAGAAGGGGAAGAAGGGCAGGAAGGGCAAGGACAGCACGGCGGCGTAGTCGGCGCGCGGAGGGAGAGCTAGGTGGTCTGATTGCTAGGGTGTATAACAGTTTGGTCTGGTAGGCGCCGACTGCGTAGTTCTTTTGTTGGATCCTTTTTTTTTGTAGTGCTTGTAACTTTTTGTTTGTGTTTGCTTATGTGGTAGTGCATGTAACTTTTTGGTAGTGCATGAAACTAGAACCCTTGTCGGCGATGTCGACCTGATCGCTACCCTCTAAATTGCACACTGACATGCTACTCGGGGATGAACCTTGTCGGCGTATATGTCGGAGTCCGACAATACGTCGGCGTCATTTGGTGTCTGTCGACATAGAGGGTTTGGCTATCTGCAAGTATATTCGGGGTGTTTGTTGGTCGGCTACCGACTGCAGTTACCATTGTTGGATCATCTAGGTTCGCATGGGCCCTGTTCTGTGCCTTAGTTTCGTCTTGTTTACCAACTTCCTGAACAATATAAGCATCATGGTTTGGTAAAATCGACCACAATTACAGCATCATCAAAATACGCACACGCATATGCTCGAAAGGTATTCATGCCGCCTTCTTGCGCTTCGTCGGAGGACGCATCACAGGTGCGGTCTGCCTGGCCATGTTGGCCACGGTCTTCGGCATCTGCTCCTCTCAGGTGTCTGGAAACAGGACGGCAACCCAAGCGCTCGGCTTCAAGTTGACCGCCACCAGCGCACAGGCGAGACGAAGCTTCGAGACTGACTTGGGGCCCAGCCCCTTGACGCCCATGCCAGGCTCCTTGGACTTCGTCTGTGCGGATCCCGGTTTGAGCACCGTGAGGGCATCGCAGAAGGTCCCGATGCCCGGCGCCGCGATCTTATTCAGGGCAGTGATGACGCCTTCGGTGTCGGCATCGCCGTCGCTCGAGCGAAGAAGGCGCACTGCATCCATGGCCTTCAGCATGCGGCGCACCTTCATGTCGTGTGCACCCTGCGTCGCGCCTTTGAGGAGGGTCGACGAATCCCGGCTCGGCGACCCTGTCGCAAAGACGACGGGTATCATCGGCAGTGGCGGAGTTCCAGAGGCGCCAAGCGTCCCTCACAGTCTTTGCCTCCCGCCAAGGTTGCACCACGTTGAGCTCGTAACAAGCCTCGTTGAGCATCTGTGAGGGTTTCGAGGGTTTCTCATCCCGTTTCTTGGCTCCGGCCCCCGTACTGGCAAAATCCGCGGAGCCACTCTCGCTCGGCGCTTGCTCGTTCCCCGACGGCGGCGCCGCCGGCATCCTCCATGCGTCTGAAACACTGAGTGCCTCGGTGAGACGGGTTATCTCGGCGGTCAGCGTCGCGATGGTATCGTCGCGCTTCTCGATCTCCTCCTGAAGGTCAATCTTCTTGACCGCGGAGCGCTCCCTCTCGTACTTCAGCATCTCCTTGAGGGACATGTTATGGTATTCGGTGTCCAAGCGGACGGAGATTTCCTGTAGCACAAGGCGGAAAGGCGAAAATAGTTTAGAATACACCCTTAACAGATCAACGCCGACTTTAGCGACGGTTTACCTCTGGCTGAATGAGGGTTGGGTCCTGGCGTTTGTTGATCGTTTCTGTGTCGATCTTCTCGACCCTTTTTGCCCAGTGTTGAAAGAGGGCAATCCGGCAGAGCTTGGGAAATGGACGTACCGGTGCCAAGGGGTGCGGACGAGCTTCACCGCGAGGTCCTCGGCGACGATGCGGCGCATCATCTGGAGGGTACGCCAGAAGTGCACGGCGGCTTTGTCGGCGTCGCTCCCTTTGACAGCACGCGTTTCCGCCTGCACGTCGGCAAGTGATGTGGGTTAGTAAGGTGTTGGGCAGCCAACGAAGCTATGGCGACGTAAGGACATTGTTGGTGCCGACTAACATACATCGCGCAGCAGAGCATCCACGCCGGGGAAGATGTGCTCGGCGATGATGTCCAAGAGTTTGTCGGAAGGCTCGACCCTCCTGCGACCCAGGAAGTAGTCTTGCTTGCAGCCCGAGTAGCCGGCCTTCCTCATCACCACCCCAACGGGAATGGTTGTGATGTAAGCACGCGTCATCTTGTCGAGTGCCCAGTGACCCAGCTCGGCGATCTCGGCGCGAGGCGTCCCTTCAATGGCTAGCTCCTGCGCACCTCCGGTGCGAGCGGCGTGCACGTTCCGCTTGCAGAACACCTTGTTGGTCGTCCACATTTGTCGCATCCAATGTTGGTGGCTGGCGGCGGAGAGCTCTTTTTGCTCCTTGTCGTTGCGGGCGAAGAAGAGGTGCTTCTTGTACCAGCGCTCGCATTCGGTGGTGTCAAGCGGCGGAAGGAAGTCGACGCCGTTGAACTGACCGATCTGGTCGAGGATGAAGTGCAACCACAGGCCGGTCTCGCCGACGGCGTACAACTCCACTTCCAGGTGTTGCGCCGCGTAGCTCTGCTGAAGACGGGCATCCTTGGAAGTCTTCGAGTTCCGCACGGCGATCACCATGACGACCGGCTGGTTCTCCGGGTTCACCAACGAGGTGCTAGCCAGTCGGTACAAGAAGATGTCGGGGAGCGTGATCTCGCGGATGCTGGCGCCTCGCAGGAGAGTGTGGTGGGAGAGTAGCGTGAGCGCCTTGGTGAGTAGAAATCACCACAGCGTCTGAGAAGGAGCGGTTGCCCGCAGGTTCCACGCCGACGCCGCCCATGTCGGCAGCACCTTCATCATGATCTGGCGGAACTGTTCGGCTGTGTAGGTATCGCCGATGGTGCCGCGACGCCGGTCGGCACAATTCCTGCCCACAAAGCCACATAGTATTTTTAGTTTGATGGCATCGACTTCAGAGTGACGTGGACAGAGGTTGGTGGTGTCGACAACCTTACTTGACATCCCTCTTGTTCTTGGTGCGGACCATGAACCGCACCTCCGATCTGACCACCGAGATCTCGCGCATGTTGCTCAGCTCCTTCTCCCGGTAGAGCGACGCCTCCACTCTTGCCGCCATCTGGCATGCCTTTATGTGCCCGAGGAGCGTGTGCACCGTTGTACCTTGCACATGCTGGGTTCGCGAGGCATTGTTCCCCTCCTCGGTCGACTCGGCATCGAGCTTACACTCATGTATCATGAACTTCACGTAGGCGCGCAGCCGGGTTTCGGTTACACTAGGGCCGTGCAGCCAGATGTACTCCTGGGGGACCTCGGCCACTTTGTCCCAATTCTTCTTCTTGTTGTCCCGGATGTAGTGGCCGATCTCATCGACGTGCCTAAGCTTGTGCTCCTGGGGAAGCTTGTCGCGTATTCGCATCAGCATTTTTGCTGCCCACCTCTTGTATTGGTAGATGAACGAGGTGTACAGCCTCAGCGTGCTGTTCTTCTCCAAGGTTTGTAGGTGGCGTAGGGCGTCTATGACCAGCACGTCGATGCATGCGTAAACCATGTCATCCTCGACGAAGTCTGCCGCTCTCCACTATTCGCGTGGCACCGCCATGTTCTGCTCGTCCTCCTCCTTGTCCTGTTCGAGCAGGTTATCTATGTATTCAAGTTCCCGCCGGATGCGTTCTTCCAAGGTGCGCGGATTCGTGCTACGCGGAGGACGCTCGTCGTATTCGTCGTCGCTCTCCTCCTCCTCCTCCTCCTTGTCATCAACCTAGTTTCCTGAGCCGGCCGGTACCGACGAAGGTCCAGGCTGCCCATCTTGCGTCGGGGTCGACTTACTAGTTGGCTTCGTAAACTCCCCTATCGGCGGTGGGGGAATGTCCTTGGTAAACTCCCCTTCTGGAATCTGTGTCAGTGCGTCAAGATCGTAGAGTAACTTGAGCGTCTCTTCGGGGGTAGAGGTCTGATTGTGGTCGGTTGGGGGACCAACGTCGGACATGTCGACGTCGGCCATGTGGCCGCTCGTAGTTTGCTATACCGTTGACCGTGTTCGAGGTAAAGGATGGACCACCATAGACGGTACAGAGTCGCGGGTGCGGTGTACACCCGATGAGTTGCTCAGGCGTCTTCGTCAGATTCTCTCTCAAGTGCTTCTAACTCAGCGGCAATCTCGAGCCGTTCCAGCTGCGCTTTGATGTCGGCGTCTATAGAGTCAGCAGGGGGTGGGATGGGTTGCGGCTGTTGGGCTCTAGGCCGTCCTCTGGCCATGCGTCACCGACCTAGTTAGTTTCTGTCATCCCGACTTGCTTGGTCGGTAGAGCTGTTGATACTATGACGAGATGCTGCCCTAAAACATCTGACGTCGACGTCGACGCGTTCTGACCGTTCGGTTACCTAAACACCGACCTGAGTAGTGTATGCCAGGTAGACGCTACCGGTGCGGACGTGATCGATTGGTCGACGCACGAGTAACCCATATTCGTGAAGATAGCTAGGGAGCGGAAAATTCTAAGTGCAAGAGAGAGCAGGAAGGAATTCAGGAACGGACAAGCGAATGAGCACCAGCGCAAGGTCATGGAGGGCTATGGTCGTGAGCGACTCCGATTTTGCCGCGCTTCACGCAACCCCCTATGCTTGTGCTGCTATGCATGTGTTCTCGTGCGGCGGCGCAGTGTTCGACGTGCCACGAGCCATGCATGGCTAATAGGTCACCGCGCTGCACTCAAGGGGCGTAAGCCTGGGCACGTCCACGGTGGGATGTGCGTGCATTACGTGGCGTGGGCCCATCATTGGTGCCTCTATGCAGAAACGCCGGAATGCCGACTTCCATGGCATAAGGGCCCAGAGTTATTGAAGAGCCGCGTGGCAAGCCCACCGTGAGCCCCTCGTGGTCGGTGCCGACTTTCCTTCGGGTGTATCTTTAGATTCCTTTAACCTAGACAGTGTTAAGGCACTAACCGATGGTGCCGCGTGGCTTGGATTAGGCCATTGGATCCTTAGTCGACACCGACATGGCGAGCAGCTCGCGATGCCTGACAACTGTAACATTTTTTTCACAGACAGATTTTTGCCGCGTGAATCGGCCACCGACAAATTTGGGCGCGCAGTCAAGTTCCCGAGCTGAAATCGCGGCTCGACGTGGCGTGCTGTGAGTTTTTGTCCGCTGAGATGTCCTTCTCGGGTTTCGCGTCAGATTGTCGACAATCCCGAGGCGTCGAGGGGCCCAGAGGTCTGCCATTTCGCCCCAGTTTGCCACTCGGAGTCGTCAGGAGTTCGTCAATCCCGAGGGGGGCCCTTGTCCTATCGAAACCGCGAAATTGGGCGGCATTTTTCGGCCGCTGAGGTATACCATCCCAATTTCCCAACAGTCATGCGCAACGTGGTGACGGACGATGTTCTTTCCGAACATGTGAGATGCCGGTTGCGATGAGTTGCTGGTCAACATTCGATCGTGCAGATGGTCGCACTGCATGCGCTTGGTTTGACAATCCATCGCCGGTAGATTGCCCAATGTTGGCAACATTGACACCACTGGAGCCGTGCTCACCCGTGGCTCCACTTGGTGGCAAGCGAATTTCCCGCTTGCCACCAACAATAACTTGCCACCAGCCGGGGATACGACCTTACTGTTGTTCGGAAGTCACTTGTTACGAGGTCCGAAATGTCACTTGTTAGTCCCGCCGCTCCAGCGACCCTCACTCTCTCCCGCCCTCGCGCGGCTCCCGTCGCTCCCCTCCCTCGCTCCCTATGCCCCCCCTCGCCCCTTGCTCATTCAATCGTCTCCGCACGTCCATCGTGACAGTCGGAATACGTCTAGGGGGGTGGGATGGGATGGGATGGGAGGCAGGCGTGAGCACCAGCGGCAGACCAAGAACGCGCGGCCAGCCGTGGGCGTGCTACGAAAAGAATGACTCCTGCGCGCCACCCGACCCAGGCCGAGGGGCACTCGCCATTTGCAGGGCAAATGCCGGGTTAAATCATCGTCACACTACACTAAGGGCGCGTGTCCTTGGTGGTCCGAGCTCATATATTTGCTTGAGCATATGCTGGTTACCAGTTTCGCGAATGTCGTAAAAGAGCCTCGCCTAGCTCGTCAACATCTGGCAGAACCATGGAAACAAACACCTACATTGAACAGAGATTGAGCAAGAGCATGTGCGACTCTGTACCTACTTTAAAGTTCAAACTTCGCTACTCGAGCTTTGTAGGTACGACATCGATGATGTGAAGCAAGGACACGCAACTCAAACATTAAAGGTTGAAATACTCTACTACAGGTCGAGCTGTCAAAATAACGAACGAGAAATGAATGAACTAGCAAACACTTGGGTACAAGTACTAACCCTAATTGGGTTGTACCCCTTATGGGCTACCCCACTACAGCCTACACAAATGTATATAGCTATAATGTTCTGACACATCCCCATAGGCAAGTGGGGAAGAACAAGTGGTCACAAGACCAGGCAAGAAAAACAAAGCAAGCTCATGGTGGATCACAAAGTCACCACACAGTCCGAGCACAAGCAAAGGGCCACAAGGCCAGTTCATATGTAGAGTTATATATAAGAGAGAACAAACAATACATTGATCATACCCTAGCAAGTGCAAGCATGCAGGTATATATATAGATCACATTACAAGCAAAGTCACACAGTAAGCAAGTGAGGCAAAGTAGGCACAAGGCCTAACACAGTAGAGAAACGCTGATGATCACCAGGCGGAAGTGCCTTGGTGAATATATCAGCAGTGTTGGCCCTAGTGGCCACGTACGCAAGACGAAGCTGGCCACGCTGCTGCAACTCTCGAGCAAGGAAGTATCGCAGAGCGATGTGCTTCGTTCTGTGCTCCTGATACAAGGCAATCATGGCCTTGTTGTCTACGTAAAGAACTGGAGGCGAACGAGGCTGCTCTCCCAAGTCAGTCAGCAGGTAGGTGAGCCAGCGTAGCTCCTGTGCAGCCATGGCCCCAGCGTAGATCTCAGCCTCACAACTGGAGCTGAGAACCGAAGACGAGCGGGTAGACCGCCAGGAGACAAAGCCAGAGCCAAGGCTGAAGGTGTAACCCTGTGACGACCGCTGCGTAGCTGAGTCGTCAACCCAAGAAGCGTCTGCGTGACCGGTGAGGACAACTGGACCCCGTCCTCCAAGCACGAGCCCCATGCCCGACGTACTGCACAAGTAACGCAGTACCCTCTTCGCAGCATCCCAATGCACCTTTCAGTGCCTGCCGGGAGCCACGTAGCAAGCCAGGAGGCTGAGAGGGTACGCGAGGTTGGGTCGAGTGCACGTCATCAAGTACATGAGGCAACCCACAAGCTCTGGGTACGGACCACTCGGCTCTACGGACTCGTCCGAAGGTGGAGCTGAGAGCGAGTGGCTGGTAGACAGAGGAGTGGGCTGTGGCCAGGAGAACTAAAAGCCGAAGCGCTGAAGGACCTGGTGCACCATGTGTGACTGAGTCAGGGTAATGGTGCACCGAGCTCTGTCCCGGGTGATCTGCAAGCCAAGATAGCTGCGCAGTTCACCCAGGTCAGTGCAGGTATGTCTCTTCTGCAGCTCCGACTTCACAAGGGTCAGTGCCTCAGTGTCACCAGTGGCAAAGACAAGGTCGTCGACGTAGACAAGGACGTAGAACGGCGGCAGCGAGGTGTTGGTGCGTAGAAACAGCGACGGGTCAACAGTAGCAGGAGCAAACCCAAGAGCCGCAAGTGTAGTCCTCAGTGTGTCGTGCCACTCGCGAGGTGCCTGACGGAGACCGTAGACTGGCCGCCGAAGACTCCATTGAGTACCTGCAGGAAAATACTTAGTGAAACCAGGTGGGCGGCGCAACCAGATCTCCTCGTGCAGGCTGCCCTGCAGGAAAGCTGTGCTGAAGTCCAGAGAGTGCAACTCGTAGTCACGCTGAGCAGCGACGTGCAGCAACACCCGAAGAGTAGTCATCTTTGGGGTGGGGGAGAAGGTCTGGAAGTAGTCAACTCCCTGTCGCTGACTGAAGCCTCGAGCAACGTAACGCGCCTTGAAGGCAGGCGGAGAACCCGGCGGCCGCTTCACCCTGAAAATCCACATGCCATCGACTATGTTCGCCCCAGGTGGGGGAACCTCGTCGACGTAGGTGCCTGTGGACTTCTAGGATGCCATCTCGGCATCCATGGCTGCCTGCCACTGAGAGGATTAAGGACCCGTAATCGCCTCTGCGTAAGAGCGCGGGGTCGGGATGTCTGGAGCATCCAAATCTCCCTCAAGGGCAAGC